CAGGTACTGTTGGTCTAAGAGGCAAATTATTTCGCTGCTCACAGCTAAAAAGTTCAGAGAAGTAAGATAACGTATACTGTGACAAACAAGGAGTATGATACGTTAACACAAATAAGGGACCGTTTCTTAGTAAAGTCTACGTAAGAATCGACTATAAGAGACAGTGCATCGAACAGTTCCATCGCATCCTGCCAATTGGGAATGCCTGAAAAACCCTGCCCGTAATGCACGGAATACCCTTAATAATTAAAACTGAACGCGTGAAAGATTTCTGTTAAAAAAAATAGAAAGCACAGCAAAAAATTAACTGGCTATTAACAAAAACAAAGAAATCAATACCCAAACATGACGACTACAAAGTGTACTACAAAGTCAAATCTTATTTTTAAAAAGTATTAAGAATAAAACACTATTAATTGAACACAAGAATCCTGTAACTCCACCAAAAACAAACCGTTATAAAACCACCTTCTAAACTTAGCCCGGAAGTAAAATAAAATCTGCGGCAAATTTATATGGAGAATTCTTGGTCAAAAAATATTCATTTATTACCATTACTATTTGTGTCGTAGCGATTGAACCTTTCAAATAAAGGAACCAAGGGGAGAAGAAAATCGTGATCATTATCTCTCAAAACCGTTTGAAACTCTCTGATCATTTGCTCAAAAGCTTCAGAAGACTGGAGCTGAAAACAAAGTGACGGTAAATGTTGCGAACCTCAAAGACGAGATTGAAGAAGCAGTAGAAACAAAAAAAAAATAATAATAATAATAATAATTGCTTTTAAAACCTGAAACCCAACGAACTGATACATGGTCAGAAAGCTACGTGTCTTGTAAACATAAAAATAAGAAACCGGACAAAAAAATTTTCATTTCAAGTCATCAGTATCTGACCTTATCAATAATGCTTTGCATATGAGATCGATGCAACTGATCCCCATAAAGAAGGGCAGACCATTGATCTGGAGAAACCCTAAGACCGGCCTCTACTGCAATTTGTACTATTTGTGAATCATGTTCTCGCCGTAAAGTATCATAATCACGAAATTCAGACTTAAGCTGCATGAGCGACGACTCTCCTTCCCTTTTGATTACCTACATTAAAAAGGTTTATGTTGATCACATGAGAATATTCCTCTAAAACATTAACAGTTATTCACTTTCCGCTTATTTAGTAGTTCTCAGAGGTAAAGTAAATCTGAAAACAGAGTAATGATACTTGGCCAAAAAATCTAAATGAGAAACTTTAACAGTTCAAAAAGTTAAGTCACCTCAATTAAAGGTAAAAAATAAAACTGACATTGAAACAACTAGCACGATACAGAAGTTGCACTACATGGCCAACGCACGTTTTGGAAACCTGTGGATAATCTTTGCCAAGCGTCTGTACAATGTACATTACTAAAGTCTTCCTAGCAATCAAATCTCCGTCTGAGAGTGTTAAGAGAATTAGACGAAGCACATCTTCCTGCATGGCTGGAAATTAGTACTTCAGAAAAAGTTCCCTGACAATGAAGGATGTGACAATATTCGAATAACAGCAATCCAATGCAATTTAAAAAAGTAAAGTGACCGTAGTCACCTGGACCAAGAAACTGACAACCCCTTGCACGCACTGCAGACCAAAGGCTTGAAGACAAATGTGTACTGTTCTGATGTCCTATAAGAAGCTCAGTTAAAATTCTCTCTGCCAATCCCCTTGCCGTTTTTAATGCTCTCTGACGACCTTCTTCCTCAGCCATTTGAAAACATAATAAAGAAAGCAGCTTTCGTTGTATAGGTCTACTTAACTCTTCACTCCAAACGCTACCACCTGTAAAAAATCTTTTTTATATA